TACCACATGGTTGTGAGTCGGAAACCAATATCGCAAAATACCGACTGGTAGAGCTAACTCGCAGGTATTGTTGTCCTACGTCCCATTCTCCAAGTATAGACAGTCCAACAATTGCATACATTTATTCTATATTTAAAGCTTCTATTTTGGGAATTCAAAGTCCAACCGAGTATTAAAATGTGCAAAAATAATGAAAGCATACTCTTTGTTTAGATATTAAAAATAGATTCCTTTTTTTACTTTATTACATCTCGCGTTTCTCGTTTCACGTTATATTATTTTTTAATATCTTTTAAAATATAGGAAGCTATGTGTACAAGTTTATATAATATCATATTAGAGATATTAATGTATCATACGAGATATTAATACAAAACAGTAAATGCGAACGTATGTTTCATACGGACTAAATTTCAGGTTCATTGGATAATTGTGCGAAATTGCTTCCGTTATGTCGATTATTCCGACGAGCAAAAAGATAAACGCAAATCTCTATATAACCGCAGCTGCGATCGAGTGATGTTCTATGGAAAAAAATAGAGCTGCATCGAAGAGAGTGCTTATCTCATTGTAGAACCCATTAATCGTCGCAGATCCGCAAACGGATGAAGAGAGGTACTCGAGTACGTTTCTCTGGTTGCAAGATTGGTCATAAAAAGAAATCAAGTGGGAATTGAGACACGCAATTTACGTAAACGAGAGAGCCGCATATGGCTCTGAAATGATACTGAGAAAGTTCCACTTGCGACGCGAACATTTCGTTCTTAAAATTGAGATATCATTCACAGCATGATTCACTACTCGAGATTTAAAGATTTGCAAAGGGAATGAATCGCGCGCGCGAGGCACGGCGTGAGTTTAATCCGAAAAGATTATTGATTATACTCCAAAATACACACGCGAGATTGCTCTCTGAAAAGCAGAAATATACGCCCGTTGAAAGAGATACCCGGCATTAAAAAATATGCAAATGCGATGATTCTTAAAAGACTGAGGTGAGATTTCAAAAGTTTTCTCGCTCTCTCTATAATTGAGACGTTGAATTCCAGGCATTCCCAGACGAATAGGTAGATGGGCAGAATGAACTCTTCTCGCTGGTTTCGATATTCCATGGAATTTTCCGACTCTGATCTATGCTGGAGAACATTTTACGTAATTGCTGACTCTGTTAATTTCGTAGACAGTTGAGCAATATGATCGATGAGCACGGTGAAAGAAAACTCATGAATTTCACTATGGAGAATATTATCGAGAAACGATTTTAATATTCGGTTTAGTAATATTGTTTCGCCACAAATTTCATTAATCGATATCAAGTTGATTGGACCTCCAATAGCATAGTCAAAATGATTTCAATAGCTCCTTCTTTAACATCGTGATGACAATGTTTTCTAATTGTTTCGATAAGTTTTTATATCACCGTAAATTAAAATTATCTAATTGAGTTGTATATCACCGTAAATTAAAATTATCTAATTGAACGTAGATACAGACATACTCGTTTACTTTCTCTCTCTTTTTGTCTACTTCATATTATATTACTTTCTATTTTCTCATTTCTCTTAGCTTGGCCATTTTTATCAAATCTCGCATCGTTCTGGAGGGAAGATTTAATTTTTTACTCGTATAAGCAATATCGCACAAAGATACGTTTAAATTAGATATTTCTTTCTCTTCTGATCTCAGATAAAAATGGCTAACTGCGTCTTTACTCGAGTTCGGAGACTAGGATAAGTTCGAGAAGTCTATGTGCTTCTACAACTTCATAGATTTCATAAGTAGATTACATACCCTATTTGCGATATCCCGCGATCAATAGACAGAGTAAACATGACCTCGCGGCAAGATCGGAAAATTCAAACTATAATCTATCTGTTGAAGACAATAGGAGTTCTGTCGTACTTCCACTTTTTTCCTTGGTGTAAATTTATCGGATTCGTTGATGCGCACTGGGTAGAATACGCGATAATTTATTGACATCCGGCCTCGCTGCTAGTCTGATGTAAAAACATTATTGCACCTATAATTGGTTTCGTGTTCAGTGATTTTATTTATAGATAAACTGGCGTGTACACGTTCCAATATTTATACGTGCACTTTAACGAAAGCCAGGCGAGGGTTTAAAAATATGTAAGTAGATTAAAATGCATTGATAATGATATTATGCCTTAGTCACGCCCTTGTTAATGCTTCCTTAATGGACATCATTCCCGCAGAAATCCAATTTATAGTTGCATACAAATTAAAGGCGATATTAATGTTCGTGTCACGCAAATTTCATACTAATACTTCTTTGTTTTCTAATCGCGCTTTATAATTCCGTATTAAAATATTGATCAAACTGTATTATTTCATTTTCACAATATCGTAAGTATCTTTATCAATATACAATTTATTTTAATATTAATATTAATATTGTAAAAAAATATACAAAATATTATGAGATATATGAAAGATAATATAAAGCCTCGAAAATTTTTTGCAAAAGCTTGAATTGAAAAATATATTGAAATATAGTAATAAGATAGAAATAAAATTAAAAGGAAAAGTTAAAAAAAAATAAAAAGCTTGCAGACATGCAAAATACATATTGTAATGTCTGCGTTCGTTATTTGTTACATTAAAACAAATAAACAACCGCTCGATTTTGATAAATATCTCTTCGTTCATTCATACATTCGCATGTATCTCGTACATGCAAATATTAAATTTTGCGCCTATAGTATCCGTGTGTGGCGCGTAATAGAAATCGTTTTTCGCTAATTCGTATGCGAAACTCGCCTGCAAGTGCGTTTGCCATGCGGACTGCCGATTTGCATACAACGGATATTCGCTCGTGCTGTTCGAGGCGCCGAATTTGCAAACCTCTCCACGTGCCAAACTTGAGATCCGAAAGGAGCTTTTTGCACTGTCAATTCCACAGGTATCTACCCTGTCGTGGGTACGCGGCGTTTCAATATACGGAGCGTCGTTCAACGATCGATACTTAGGGGGGAGACAAATGGAACATGGATGAACACGCAAGCCCGCGTGGAGAAAAGCTACTCCGCTCGTGAGAACACGAAGAAATCAGTATTCAGAGGCATTTACGACGAGGAATTTCAGTGTCGAGATTGCGGGATACACAAGTACGCGTTTATCCCTCCAAATTCTTTGAATCGTCCAAGTGTCAACGTGTTCGCGCGATGCCTGATCAGGTCTCAATTTTCAGAGGATACCCTAAAGATACAAGAGTATGCTTTAAGTCTCTTGTAAAATTGACAAAACATATTTCTTCAATCGTTGTCTCCCCTTCGATCTCCTGCCAAATCTCATTCGATGCGAGCAGGATTCACCCGTAGATATGCTCTAGAATCATTATCACTATCATCCGTGTCAATCATTGCAGTAACAGCGACAAGAAGATATAAATATCAAAGTTCAAGAGGAGATCGCGTCGGAGCGAGGATAAAGCACCGTTAAGGGATCATACTGGACACCTTCCCACGAGAACAGCCACGGTGAATAAAGGCGAAAGGGGACAAATGGCGGATAGTGGAAGCTCCAGGCACATCTATCGAGTCAATATGCATGGAGACTACTAGATGAACAATGAATCCTAAATATCTTCTCCTCGACATTGATCTCTAGCCTTCCTTTTTCCTATATTCTCCGATGTTCTCCACTGACAATATCGCGATCTATCTGTTTTCTGTTGACAAAATTGAGACAAATTGTTTCTTCGAGTAGATGATTCGATCTGTGTAATGAGAATTTCAAGAAAAATGAACGCACCACGTTTAGCAAAATATCATTCCGAGCTTTTTAAAATAACCGATTATAAATAAGAATAAAAGCGAGGGGTGGTATTTAATAGAGAATTATGAGGGACACAATATATCACAAGACGGCTAAAAATATGAACTCCTACTTCTCTTTCGCGTTAAATGCTTAAACGTGATTAATAGGAGACAAATATATTTTTGATGATTCAGAGATTATCTCTTTCATAATTGTGATAAACAAGGATACTTTCTGACAGCTTTTCCATTAAAACCATCTCTTCCCTTCTATCGCGACCCATTAAATTTTGGTTAAAAGAGCGGTAAACGTTAATGTCAAACTATTTTTGGCACAAGGTTCAGATAACGTCTACGTTTATTCAGATGTAAAAGCACCGACATTTCACTTTTGCATTAGATTTTACCATATGCGGTTTCTCCTCGCTCAACAAAGAGAACTTCTGAGCGAATAAACTCGCGGATTTCTCGCTATTTTGTAAGACTTGTGCATGTGTATTTTTTGCAATATTTTGTGATTAATATTTATTAATGTATCTATCTCGAATTTGTAAAATTCTCGTTATGATTCACGAACATGTACTGAGTTTTTTCGCAGCGCGTGGAAAAATCGGGGATTATCGATAAAACAACCATATGATTAAATATAGTGTGTACACAATGACGAAAGACCCCTTTTGTTACGTTAGCTATGTTAGCCGCGAAATGGAATCGGGAACAGAGTGATGAAAGATAACGAATCGGCCAATATCGTTCCAGTAACATACTTGCTCCGTCACTATTTCAACGATTTTATCTTGTGTACGCGCGCTACATATCTTTCTCTTTATCTCTAATTAAAAAACTTTTTCAGCTAGCAGCATGTTTTTTTGATATCACGATTCTAATGTAGATTTCGCAATAAGCAATTCCATTCTAATGTAGATTTCGAGAGCAGTTTTAAATTCCACTGAAATTCCACAATTCGCTGCAAATTTTTTTTTCCACACTCGCGACACAATAATATAACAGCGATTTAATTTCTACCGTTTCATTATTCTTGTACATAATTTTCACGAGAGAAAAATTCAACGCACTTTATATAATTGATTTGGTGGCCTTGAATTTGGCATCCTTTTTTTTATCTTTTTTTTTAAAATAAGAAGATAAGTCTGCAGACAATTTATATATGCGTGCGCAGAAGACTCACGATATTTCTGTAATAGCAAGGTATTTCGGTACCTCGTTTCGTGGATATGATGGTCGGCATCGATGTGAGCTGCGACGGGATGCCAACTCTATCAGTGGCAGTGATAGCCCACAACCGAGTCTCGTTCCTCTTCGTGGATCTCGTCGTCGTCGTCGTCGTCTTCGGGACGAGCCACTAACCTGGTAGTCATCTCCACTGCGACGACGGCCAGTCCGTCATCGTCCAGCAACCGATGTATGGATGATCTAAAGACACACAATAGAACGTTCCTTTTTTTCTCTAAACATATGTAAGCGTATTTATTGATCGATATTGTAATGAACTACTTAATGTAAAACACAAATCGTAGTTATTTTTAGGTCTGACGACTACCATTCCGCTTTTTGGAAATGCCAGAACAGTAATTCCTGTAATATTCATGTAAAAATGGACAATGTGATTGATTGTCTATATCTACCCTCATACGTCCGACATGATTGAACCATTGTCTGCCTACGGTCAGAAATTGGTGGATGGACGTAAAACCCGCGAATGTTACATCGATTGTTTTATAAACGATTTCGTACAGTGATATTTCGCATTGAATAATTCACTCGAATTCAATTGCATATTTTCTATGAAATAAAAATAATTACTTTTTTACAAGCTCGAATAGTTTTTCGTAGCAGCACTTGTGCGCGAAGGAACTTAGCGTCACTGAAAAGTTCTCTGCGACAGATAAGAAGCAGTTTTCTTTAATTATAAAGATGATTTGCTTACGCGAGATTTTATCTACTTAGTAAACATAAAGTAGGTTACTACTCATTTTATTCTACGAAACTTTAAGTTCGACATCTACAATAGCGTTGTCGTGAGCTAACGTGAAAAGGTTTTTTACCGCGACCGAGAACAAAAGTTTCATCAGTGCTTGAAGCGTTAAACCCTGTAATGACAATTTCTTGTTCGCTTATGAAGTTAGAATCAACTTTTTACTACGAGCAGAGTTAAAATGGCCGTTCACAATATGCTCGGCTCGTATCATAATTTTGAATTTTTTTTACAGGGGGAAAAAGAAAGAGAAATAGGAAATATTTGTTGCACCTAGAGATTGATATGTCTAAATGTTTTCTTTTGCTCAATAAAAATAATTGTCAGTATTTTAAGTTAAAAATTAAAATTAATATTTTTCAGGACGATAATGTTCTCCTGTCACAACATATACGCACACATATAGAAAATATATTACATGAATATTAATAAACTTATTACATGTAAATTATCATGAAATAAAAAAATTATTTTTGTAAAATTGACGCCATTTTTTATAATTTGTTTTTTTAAATAATTCGAAATTATTGAAACGCATATGCTTTGTTAGAAAGTGTGGCTGAAAAATCGTTATAAATTCATAAGTGTGCACCTGCAAGCAGCGAGCAATATTTTCTATTAATAGAAATATCGTGAATTAATAATTGACCGAGATTACACGTTCACAGATATAACTTAGCGTCGCACACATGTTGCTGTAACAAAGTTTAATCAAAGTTACGGAACGAACATACTATTGTCTGTTATTACAGTTATTACACAGTACAATTGTTAAATGGTTATCTCTGAGTACGCTTACGAAGCTATAACATCGGTTTAGGAAAACGGTTCTGCCAAAAGACATTATATTCGGTCTGTGTTCTTTGTATGGCTCCACGTATATCATATTTTACACTCGATATAAAATATTACAATTTTTATACACGCTATGTTAATTATAAACTTTTTGTATAAAATGTTTTGTATAAATTGGAAAACGTTATAAATTGCAATTTATATAAAATGCAATATAAAATATAATAATAAAATATAGTATTGGATTGTTCTATTTTTCATAAATGTTGGATATGCTATTGCTCGTCGATATGATTAAAGCGTTATATACGTATACTTTTTTTCCTTATTCAAAACATCAATGATTATAAAGATTTAATTCAGTGAAATAGGCACGATGGCTTACATAAGCTTGAATATACGAAGCACGGCAGAAATGGCATCGAAAATGTTCGTGTCGCGGCAGAAATTGCATTCCTCTCCCGCTTTTCCGATCCACGATCTTCCGCGGCCATTTCAATTTCGCGGGTATTCCCCGCTCCGGGAGATACGATCGATTGACGTGTCATAGAAAAATAGCAGCATGCGATTCACAAATTTTCCCATGTGTGCATTCGACATTTCGCGATCCGTGCAGACAAGTTATGTCGGATAAACGTTCCATTTATGTTGGATTAACGTTCGCTCATCATTTCACGAACGAAAATGACACCCCAGATATCACATGTCTCTAAAGGACATCTAAAAATCGACTTGAAGAGAAGACAGACGTGCTGTCTGGAACGTTAAAGAGCTAACATCTTGGAATAAAATGAATCTAGGTGATATGTAATCTTCGCGTTCAGTGATTCTCGTTGAAATATTGATTTTCAACTGCAACGTTTTTATATTTGAGTGACAGCTATTGAGCTTATATAATTAAATAATTACAATGAATAATTAAAATTTTTATTGCCCACGTGTGTTAACAGATTGAAAAAAGCAACATCAACTCTCTGTTGTATGTTAGTCTTCGTACGAGATTCTTTATTTTCCATAATATCGCTGCAACGATCGCTACACGAAAATGTATGTAAACTACGTGATATGCATACGCGTACATACATATACCAGCAGAGTTTAATAAAACAGATGCATAACTTCGTAGATATTACGAATTGATATTTGAATGTATATTCACATGTTCGCAGTGAGAAGGAAATGACGATGATGCAATTATGGCAATGTTACAAATTTTAAAATCCGATTATGACTTCGTTGGCGATAAAGCGTGATAAAAAAAGCGATACGAAACCTGGATACTGTCGCATAAAACTCTTCATATAAAAATCTCCTTTCAATCGTGTGCCGATGATGATCTTAAAAAGCGTTTCATCCGATAAGTGAATTTTTTCGCAATCATTCCATTTGACGATAAACTGTAAAAGATTGGAAAGGAAAAGAGGAAATGAAGTAAATAAATTACTTGGTGAATTTTATGACAAATTTAGAATCAATTTCTTTAAATTTAATCGAGGAATAAAACTATCAAGGCTTGATTATTCGAAATCTTTCAACTTTTAAAAGTTAATTTTGCAGTTTAAATGTTCAAACTCTGTTACAATATCATTTTTTCTATCGTTATCTTCTATAAAAAAATATTCTGAAAATATCAGAATATTCTTTATTATTTTAATATCGTATAATCGTGCGCACGAGCGTATATGTATTATATTTTTTAATCTTATTGCTTATTATTCTCTTTCCTTTCTTTGTCGTAATGATATTGATGAATTTTAGGTATATTTCATATTGAGTCAATTGCCAATAAAGGGTGTTATTATACCCGAGGCACCTTCTCTTAATAAATTTTACAGAGGATATCAAGAAATTTATATAAGGTGGCGTAAGAGGTTTCGAGAGGATGGTCCCACTAAATGACTATCATCTGTCTTCCCGGAGAGTAAATCACTATATCATTTTCTCTTAGATGATGGTACGATCAATGTTATTAGATTAAATTATATAAATACTAAATATTAATTATTATCAGCTTGTTTCGAAATTATTAGAATAATTATATATTTACATTATATACACCTAAATGATTCTAACTGACGAAATAAAATTTTATGAAACGCAGAGATACATGTCAATTATCTTGGCATGAATAATAAAAGAGAAAGAGCTAAATTCATATTTCGTCAGTACAGATGATGTCCATGTTAAAACTTTTTAACCAATAAATTACTTGCCAGCTTCAATAAATTCCAATAATCTTTTCAATGAATTTTTTAAAAGTAATCCGCGATATCTATTTACTTTGGATAAGCGTTAAAAAGGTTTATTTGGCAAAAGATATATAAAATCGTAGGGATAAATAACATAAAACGTGAGCTAGCTATTAATCCCGATCTTTTTCGTTGTACACATAGATTGAAAAAAATATTACGTTTGTTAATGTTTTCAGTTGTCTTTACATGTATAATGAAAGATAAAAACATTTATTTTAAAATGTCCTAATGACTTTGGAATATGAGCTTATTGCATGATTATAAGATAAAAATGAACCGAGGGTAGATTGAAAGAAAAATCTTGAGAATTGTAGCAGAATAGAATTGTGCGCAACATATTATAGTATTTATTGTAAAAGAATCTTTTATTCTGAAAAATTGAGATCTCTTCGAACATGGAAAATTTCATATTTCACCATTATCGGAGAGTTACTAGTATCTATTTTTCTCATTTTTTATTTTACGTGATAACATTTATTTACTAAACAAGAAGTCTTTGATATGATAATGTGAAACTTAAAGTATAGTAATGCTCATAAATAATGCTCGTAAATAATATCTTAGTATTTGAAAATAAATTTATAGACAAGGAATATTCTACGTAATCATAAATTATTTATTTTTTCACCAGAAAATATGCTAATTTAATTCCTGTAGCGAAGGCAAATTTTAAATAACATTTATTATGCAAATAATTATCAGATACTTTGCAGCTACGTTTACGTCTAAATTTTCAACTTGATTAACGTTGAAACATACCTTTTGCTATTCCTCACGATGCTATTTCTCCGCCAGATTGTCGCATCGTTCGACGATATCTCTCGAACCCGATTCGCACAGATGGCCTTGCACGCAAGCACCTGACACGAAAGGCGAACAACTCGAACGATTCGAAGAGACACTCAGTCGCGGGTATCACCGCACGAAAGATACCTTTGAGTTCCCCGTGTTTTTCTTTTCTTCTCTTCTCTTTCGATCGAACACACACGCGCGCACACGCGACCACCCGGCGTCGTCCTTCAGGAAACGGTACCGTACCAGGGGCACAGGGTTGTACCACCCTCGGTACCGGGTCTTTTCGAGGCTCTACTGCCGGAAATCTCTTTCCACGTTGTTGGGGTCACATACATGCCACAAAAAATATCGGGGATCGATGCCGACTCGAAATTACCTCCTGCGACGACATCAGCGAAGGGCACGTGTCTTCTCTCGAGTCGTGCCTCGCCGGGGACACTTATGCTCCGCGGATGACATAGTCAGCGCTTTCGCAATAACTTTCTTCGCCGAGAACGGAATCTCTCGTATAATGCGTAAACTTAAACGGAAGTACGTCGCGTTTAGCTCGACCTGACGCATGCCGGGATTTCCTGCTGGAGACGATTAAGTCAACCGATTCGAGCCTCGTCGATCCCGCCGTCCTCGCGGGTATCCGTATCCCCGCAATCCCTCGTCATGTCCAGCCCAGTTCCTCCTCGACCTCAGGACGCTCTTCTTCTGGCTCTTCGTCGAATTCGCCGGACCCGCGTTACCAGAATCATGCTTCCATTCTTCGCGTGTTTGTCAGTCTCCGTTGATTATTTTCCTTCCACGTACACTCGACATGCGACTTGATCGAGTCCGAAAATCAGCTCCTGCACGCATCCTTTGTCGGGGAGAGATACGTGTCCCTCATGCTATCTGTGCCAGTTAACTTCGAGTCTTTGAGTGCTTGCAGCGAAATATCAATACTCTCGGTAACGGAACGAGCCAAACTGGAGGAGGTAGAACCGGAGCTGAAAGCAGAATCTCGCCGTTTGATCGCACTCAATACTTGTCACTTCGAAATCACTTTATGGTTCACGCCTTGCTTGCCGAACACTCCATTTTCACGCAATATTTTTTCACCGCCCTTGTTTGCAGAGCAACAGGAAGAAAACGAGAGAAAAGATCACAATAATCTATTTTTTTTATCGAAAAATTCCCTCTTCCATCGCTTTTTCGAGTGACATATAATTGCTGAAAAAAGAAAAAGAAAATCTTTGAGCAATTAAAACGCGACTCGCGGAAAGACTCGAGGAAAGAAAGGCGAAGCGAGAAAATAAGCAACACACACGTCGAGAAGGAAGAAATAAAGAAGGAAAGAAAAAAGAGATAAGGACGTGCATATCGATCTTTTCGTTTCGAAGAATGTTTCATTATTCGACAGCATTGAGGAGAGTACTCTGAGGAATTTCGCCCATTATAGACCGGAAATTTCTAATAAATTCTCTAGTTTCCTTCTCTTTATTGCAGCAAACTCTCGGCAAACGAGCCACGGCCCATGAATTACTGATGCGTTTGCATATCGACGTGCGCGAAACGCCGAAACGAAACGTGTATTTTTGGAAGCGCCCGTCGTTATGCGGGGCATTGCGTGCAGAACCTCCGCTCCGTACAATGGAATACTTAAGCGAGTGTGAGTCACCTAGCATAGCACATCGTAGAAATACCTCGTGGCTATTCAGATCCCTCCTATGCTTCCTTTCGATGCTATATATCTTTAATTATATCCCGCACTTTCATACGAGATACACACTTGACATTTATGTAGATGGTTCAATTGTCCATAAGATAAACATTTCTCTCGGTAAATAACTGGTAAAGCTAAGTGCTGGATTATGACAGCAATTGATATTCCCTCTTATATCTCTGTAATGTGCACGTTCTGTAGGATAAAGATGCGACAATCAAGAATGTATGCTCGCTTGAAGATTAAATCTTGCCTCCACGCATAGAACTCGCGACATATAGCGGCGAAATTAGAGTCGACTGGTGTTTTTCGCGCAAAACGGAAATACGCGGACACTTGCGGTGTGAAAATTAACACGTTTCGTGACGTCAGGCCGCAGAAAATCTGGGAAAGGCAACTGTCACGATTTCTGCATAACGAACAGCTGGCGAGAGCTTTCTATCAATTCTGGCTGTCGGCTATTGGAAATAAACGTATATTCCCGCGTATTTCGGCGGATGTGAAAATAGGGGGTGTCAAAAGTGTGAAAGATCGGCGGATGTGTGAAGGCGTGAACACCCGGGATTGAATTGTTTTACAATGCAGCCATTTGTACGTATTATCGCGGCGTGTACGGATCTGCGAGATACGTATCCACGCATATATATATCGACGCGAATAGAGTAAAACGATGGAGAAAATGAAATATTATGCACGTTAGAGGAGAATACGAACGATTTTTTTTCACTCTCAAAGAGATCCGCGTAATCTCGATTTTTGCAATTTTTCTCAATGATTTTCTTATAGAAACGCGAAAGAAGAAACGACAAAATTGTTTAAAGTTATTCTCAAGATCTCGTTATGGTTAAAGAAGAAAGAAATTTAGTTGATAATATTTCCATGCTTTTCTCTTATTTTCTACTTTATCTCGATATATTATAATTTATGATTGATATCATTATATAAATCCTGTAATTTTTAAATCAATGCAATTCTCTTTTCTCTTTTCTTCCTTATATTTTCACCTTCAGTTACCATTATTGTTTTGCAGATTGTTTCGTGGGAAATGTTCGTGCGATTCTTTCCTCTAGATCACGCGAAGAAAACGGGAGTCTGATCTTCTCTTTTCTCTCTATTCTTTACCACCTTGATTTCGTTTCGATGATGCTCGCAAATTTCACGATTCGCACAAGAAGCTTTTCTCTTCCATTTCAATTTCTTTTTAACGAAACAGGATTATTCACGTTGCACCTCATAAGATATTTGCACCTCGTTCCATATCTGGGAGAAAACACAGACTATTACAACCTAAGTTTTCGCTCCGAGGTACTCCGATCTTTCAGATATTATTGATGCTCATTCTCTCTCCCTCCCTCTCTCTCTCTCTCTCTTTCTCTCTGTCTCCATCTTCTATCAAATATTATCTCTCTTTTCCATCCCGCTTTTTCGCGCGCGTTCCCTTTGAAATCCCGCTCTAAATATTAATCACTAGCAATCTTCCTGACTTTTCTCACAACCCCTTTATCGCTACCCTTTTATCAATTTATGCCCCTCGCCTCGCTATTTCGTACACTCGTATCGCGGCAATCCACGAAAATTACCTCCGCGTTCGCTCTTACCCCCTTTTCTTTCGCGATTATCACCATCCCCTCCGCCATATCGCCCACCACCGATTTTATTCGCCAGCGGACGAGCCTGCCATCCTCGCGGCGAGCGAGGCCGAGATGGAGACAGACAGCGGAGGAGAGACGAGGCGAAGCGAAGAGAGAAAGAAACGCGCGCACGCAAACCTACACTTACACGTATGGCAACGAGACAGAGAGCAGGGAAGAGAGAGAGAGAGAGACAGAGAGAGACAGAGAGAGACAGAGAGAAAGAGAGGAAGAAGAGAGCGAGAGAGAGGCGCGTGTGTGCGAGAGAGACAGAGAGACGAGAGAGATCCATTCGCAGGAAGTGTGCTTACGGCACGAAGTCGCGCGCTCCACTGAGCCATCAGCGGGCATGCGTCCGCGTAGTAACCGGTACGGGCTTTCCCTGTCGTTTTTCCAACCCCCGCGCGTCTTGACGGCGCGGCCACCTCTTCCGAGAGCAGCAGCCGCCGCCGCTGCCACCACCATCGCCATCGCCACCACCCCGTACTTCGAACCCGCGGTCCTAGCGCGCGTTCGCCGGAGCGTGCGCGCGCGTTCACCTGCGTGCGGGATGCAACAGATGCACCGGACGCGAGTCCCCCGACCCGGGGGTGCGGTGCATGTATGCTGCACGCTGCACGGTTACGGAACGGTCGAGCCCGTTACACAATCGAACGTAACGACGAATAAAAAAAAAATGAAGAGAGAGTGTGTGTGTGTGAGACAGAGAGAGAGAGAGAGAGAGGGAGGGGGGAGAAAGAGAGAGAGAGAGAGAGAGGAGGACATCGATTTATCGTATAGCGGGTTATCTTTAGAAGATAGCGAACCGCGTCAGAGTCGCTGCCTCCTCGTTCATACTCTTGTTGTATCAGAAATTGACTTTTGTCTTCCCTCTGTCCTCTCTCTCTCTCTCTCTTTTTTCTTTCTTTCTTTCTAGCACATGGTTAAATGGATAGATGATTGTTTTATTATTTAGATGTTAGACAAATGTTTTCTGATATTTAATATTATTATGATATATTCATAAATTGTTATATGAAGTTTGCTAGAGGGTACATTAATATATATATATATATATATATATATATATATATATGTATGTATATATAAGTCTCGTTATGTATTTATGAAATATTATTTACTCTATAATGATTTCCGAATAACGAAAACGTTATCGACAATCATTTAATAAATAATAAAGCACAATGTTATTTAAGGCAATAAATTGGATATATAATTACACGTTATGATAAATCATATTTACAAAAACGATCTCAGCCTTATTATTCCGCATAATGCAAATATCTTTTTACGTATGAAAAGCAGAAGTAATTAAAAAAACGATTTATGTATGAAAGATGAGAAATTTTTAATATTACATATATTTACTGATTCGGAACAATATCTCACTGATGCAAATATCTTGAAAGATTTTTTGCTCATTAAAATAACGATGATACGAGATGCAATAATTATAATATGATAAAATAGAACAATGTAATGCATTAATTATAATTATAAAGATATAATGTAATAATTACAAAGATTATAATCTACAGCTTTAATGTAATTTGTGTTTTTATCTATTTATCTATCTATCCATGTATATGTATATATATATATATATATTTGCTTATATTTATGCCGGAAATTTATAACTGTTATTAGAAACATTATTTTGTAACATGTAATTATAATGGAAAAGATATATCTCTTGGCTTTATTTTTAAAGGAAGGATTATGTTATAATATATATACATAATATATATATATATATATATATATATATATATATGTATATATATTATAACATAATCCTTCCTTTAAAAATAAAGCCAAGAGATATATCTTTTCCATTATAATTACATGTTACAAAATAATGTTTCTAATAACAGTTATAAATTTCCGGCATAAATATAACCAAATTCAATAATTTTATTCCTAAATATTAAATTAATTTTTTTGCTTTTTAATGTAATAATTATAAAGATTATAATCTACATATATGTGTATAATATAACATAATCCTTCCTTTAAAAATTAAGCCAAGAGATACATCTTTGTTGTTTATAATAAAATTATAAAAAAATGTTCTTTATAACAAAATCTTATTGCACAAAAAGAAACTTCTTTCATTCAATTTCTAACCTAATACTGGAGAAAAATTAAATACATTGATAATCTAGTATTATTTTTTGTATTTTATAATTCGTAAAAATATTAGAAATTTACATGCATATTAAAGGCACAATCTACGTTATCAGAAATATAATTCAATAATTACCAATTGAAAGGTTTTTATATATTCAAAATGTGAAGCACAGGGACGAGGAGAGGAGCCATTTCGTTTATATACTGCGTATTTACATAAACGAATATAGTGCTGTAAACTTCGCTCGTAAAGCTTTCACGTCGAATAAGACCGAGTGCTTTTATACCGCAAACTTAATTTTACGACTGTGCCGAGAGTTATGTATATCGTAAGATACATACCAGTCAATATATGTGTAGATAATCGTTCGCGATGAAATAATATCCGAAGGATAACCTGTACGCTTACATTCAACACGCACGCTGATTTGAATTTGAATCCAGTCATGTCGATCATGTATGCTAGTCAATGCTCTATTATATCTACCATCGATAAAAAATACTAAGACTGAATCGACTTTTGTGATACAAGGTACAGTTGGCAACCTTCCATGTTGATTGTCGGCAACGTCAGAGACAATTTAAAATCGTGAACAATTTAAAAAGAATTGTATAAAATATGCACAATTTTATAATTTCTGCATAAATTAAATTAAGAAATATAACAATCTAATATAATTTATGTTATCAAAAGTATTATATAATATTTATTTATACAACATTACAGTTATCTCACGTCTGATGCCATAGTGACAGCAATTTCGACACGTGTTGTATCAATCGGAAGAAGGATCCCGTTCACCTATCGGCTATCGGCTGTGGTAAGGAGGTTATGTTTGTCCTTTCGCGTATCAGTGGACGAAGTGGCGTGTTGGATTTTTACGCATCGGCTCGAACTCGAATCGATCATACGGTATCGAATTATACGGTAAATGTCAGAATAGATTATTCTGCTCGCAAGAATGTGATTTTGATGTCTAACGAAATTTCGAGAGATGTTATGTGTGCTTTAGTTTGTGAAGCGACGAGAAATGCTGCTCTAACCTCACTTGCCGCATAGTTGTAATAACTTTCGTAATTGTTGCTTAATAAGATATAAGTATACAATCTTACATAATGCGTTGTTTTAAATTCAATACTTATTAAATATTGATGTAAATTTCATTTCCTTTTTTCAAGGTAATTTTAAAGTTTGCATGTAATAATGTGAAGTAATAAATTTGCTAATTCCATGGAATTCATTTTAGCTCGATTAAAGTCGCATGATTCTGTGAGAATTATGATAAATTATCTATCTATATTAATCTATAATAATTGTTTTTTTGGTGAATTTATGCTTTCATTATTTTTTATAACAGATTTCTGTAGAATGGAGGAATATGCAAGAGAACCGTGTCCCTGGCGAATAGTGGATGACTGTGGCGGTGCCTTCACAATGGGTGTCATAGGTGGAGCGATCTTTCAAAGTATCAAAGGTTTCCGTAATGCACCAAGCGGATGGAAGCAGCGTTTTGCAGGCAGTGTTGTAGCGATCAGACAACGAGCACCCATAATTGCAGGGAATTTTGCAGTATGGGGTGGGATGTTCTCCACAATTGATTGCACGCTGGTCCACTTTAGAGGAGGAAAGGAAGATCCTTATAATTCTATTATCAGCGGGGCTGCAACTGGTGGAATTTTAGCTGCAAGAAATGGGCTGCCAGCAATGGTAGGCAGTGCGATCATTGGTGGAGTGTTATTGGCTCTGATAGAAGGTGTAGGAATTTGTTTTACACGTCTTTCTGCCGAACAATTTAAGCCACCATCACTGGTTGAAGATCCATCGCAATTTACCACACCTTCGCAGGGCTATCCATCATAATGTTCAACCAAATTGTTTAGACTTATTTGAAATTAGAATGAAATGTTCAAGTATAATGCCATATTCTTTCCAGCAATATTTTAAAATATACTTGAGCGTCTCTTTTTGCCAGTGTTAAATTTGTATGCAGCCTGAAGATCTTAGATTTAATATTTTGTTTTCTTACTTGTCATTATATTCCTTTCAATCTTCTAATTAGATTGAGATATCAAACATGATACTTTGTGTAAGAATACATCCTGTAAATACTTATAAAATATAAATAACAAAAGTGAATTCACAAAAATCAGATCTTTATGGTGCATTTTATTATAAATTATAAATTATTACTTTACATTCATATAAAGTATATATACATGTTAAAGTATAATTATAATTAATCTTTTCATAGCATTAATATAGCATTAATAATTTGTAATAAATCTAAACTTAGGAATGTTAAGGGGATGCTAAAAAGTCAAGGTCATCGTCTTCAAGTTCTTCATCATTTAGAGATGGTGCTATGGATAAATCTAATTTTTGTTGTGTTAAATCACTAGAATCCTCTGTTACTGGCTCAACCTTCACACATTTATTTTTTGTTGACACATCTGGCAATATTTCTTGTCCCTGACATTTTGCTCCAAGTAAAGAATTTCTCAAATGTAATCGCTCAACCTACGAGATAATATTTAGAGTGTTTATTTTCTTATGTATCAGGATTACAGATTAAAGTGCAAAATTTTAATTATATATAGATCTAGATATTTAAATTGTTTTTATAAATATACCTGTAAAGCAAGTATTTGTTTCTCAATCTTGGATAATATGTCAGTTAAAAATTGTTTTTGATGCATCAATCGCTCACGATATTGTGCCATTTCAATTGGAGAGAGTCGTGTTCCCTTGTTCTCCATCGTTGCAGATTTTTTTTGCTGATGTTCATATATCACACGTCACTTGGCAGAATGGTCTGTAACTGTTTTGACTTTGACACAGCATGTAATATATACACAATCGTTTAACCATTTTCAATCGGAGCGAACTAGAGTCTCTACATATTTATGGAAATACATCGCAGTATTGTGAGTGAGCAATTGTCTCTGATTGGTGTATTATTTTTAGCTCTACCAATCAGAGAACCAAAATAAATCTCAATAGTAGCGTTTTGCCGAACAAACCGGGATCGAGCTATATTTAATCATAATTAGGCAATGTTTTCGAATTTCTATTATATTTAATAATGTCTCTATTATATAAAATAATATTTGGCAATTTTTATTACATTACAGGTAAAATTACAACATTATTGGAATCAGCTTTAGAAGTAATTACGAAAACATGCAGTCGAAGATTATGTACTCTACTCATCGAGCGACTCTCTCTCCATCGTAAGTAAGCGCCATCTAAAGCATACCTGATAATTTTAGTATTCATGCAACGGTCGATATGTAGATATCTGCATGCATGTATATTGCAAGAGAGTGGGAGAGATGGAGAAATTTATATAATAATATAATAATAATATATCTATATAATAATAATATATACCTTTTCTTATATATATTATACATAAAAATAATATGAAAAATAACACATAATCTCTCTTTTTCTCTCTCTCTCACTCGACCCCCAAATATCTTTATTGATCTAAATTTAGACATAAATATGAATATTGAAGAGAAATTTATATATATAAATTTTTACAAGGTAAGATTTTATAAGCGAAAAATTATTTTGACACATAAATTTTTTTATTTGAGGGATAAACATAAATGAGAAGAGCGCCACAATTAATACAATAATATTTTATTCTTTCTACAGAGATCTACATGATATTACAGGCTAATGACACTTTAATATAATAGGAATGTTTTTAGGTACAGAGCAAATGGACCACCATTTATGTAATTCATATAAATATGTACGATATTATGCTAATTTGTATGTGTTTAAACGTGCGAATTAATTTGAATAGGACACGAGTTTTCAGCTCGTATAATAACAGTTTCGCTGCAATTATGCTTTTAAATTCTTATTGGGGAATAATGAGGATTTATTAATATTCTGTCTTGTGGAACGTCTGTTTATGTGGGGGGAGAGGTTTATCGATTAATTTTATTGGCCCATAGTTTTTGTGTAGAATATTATTTACATATAAATACATGCTCTTGGGCGGAAATTGGATCGAGGGAGATCTACAATCGTTAAATTATCTTTGATTAGACAATTACTCGCGAGATCTTGCGATTATTAAAGATATTTCTATCCACTATCGCGCGCCAAGATAAACGTTATAAAGACATTGGCCTAATTTGGCGCTTTAGGATTGACCGAAATTTTCTATCTGCGAATAATCAATAGAATAATCAGTTATAAATAATTTCTTTATATAAATTCTTTTTTTTTAATTAAGAATCAAGTTGGCGCAATATATTCTTTATTATATTTCTTTGACAGCGATATTTTAACATTTTAACATTTAGGGATTCATTCATAATGTTTAAGATTACTATGAATATTCCACAGTAAGATAAAGTTAACTCTTCCAGTATCAGATTGAGTATAGAGATTTTGAAACATCCTTTCGTTATTTTTAATTCTTAGTTTAGTTTTGAAAATGATGAAGAGATCCGCGCGTGTGAAATATTTATTTTATTAATTTTAATATTTGTAATTTTATTATTTAATAGGAATATATAGTGTGTCATAAATTGTTTTTATTAATGCATATGGTTCTAAACATTGGATATTGATTGTGAGATACAAAAAAAGCAGAATACAAAATAATTTTTTGAAAGAAATTGAAAATGTACTAATTACAAGGTACTGGAAGGGTTAAGAAATGATCGGATGATAGAATCAATCGTTATGATCTCGTCCTTAACATGGTAATGTGACGTGATGTTACTTTATTCAATTCATATACTTGAATTAGAAAAATTCATTTACAATTGTACATAAAATTTAATATGATCGAGGAAATTATACATTATATATGTATATAAGTATGTTGTCGACATTTGAGAGCAGTTGAAAAATTGGAATAGAATTACTATATATTTATATTAATATAAATATCGGAAGAATCGTTTGAGTAGTATATTTTGAAATTTTTGAGAAAACTAAAAACTAGAGAAGATTAATCTGAAATATAAATGATCACAAAACAGCATTTAAAATGTACAACTATAAATATCGCCCTATGAACTGAGGTACATGGTAACATTGAATTTGGATTTTCAAACTTATACATACAATTTTACAAAAAGACATTGAAAATTAAATTAAATATACGCGGAATAAATAATATGGAAAATTAATTAATTTATACAACTTAACGTTTAATGCATTGATTAAAAGAAGAAATTTAGGATGAAGAAAACATGCTCCTCGGAATGCAATATAATATCGAATTAAACTCTTTCGAAGCAACACGCCACTTCTGAGGGGATCATCCGTGTAATACGATGGAATTAGAGAAACCAATGTCACATATTTTAAAATTTAAAAACGGGAAGATAGAGATGTGCCCCCCCGTATATACACATATATCACATACCTCTACTTTCAAGATACGGAATGACATTACTCGTCTTATAAGTCCACGATATTACATTCACGATGCAGCCTGAAAGAATAAATTAGAAAGTGGTTTGTGGCTGCAGTAAATTGTCACGATTCTCATTAAACTTCTGGCCTCTCGATATGACCGGGCCAGAGCTTTATGATCAGATGTCGAATCATAGACTATAGTGGCGTTCATTACTGCAGCAAAAATCGCGTCAATCCTTGGAAGATGGAGGTGATTCCCTACTGTTGTCGCTGGTGAAGCTGGATAAACCGAGGCCGCCGATCTCATGGCTGGACGAGCCCGTCGGTGAATTGCTGCTGCTCCTGGCACCGCTCAAGGCCGTCATGTTCGTGCTATCCGCCGGTATCAGGCCCTCCTTCATACGCTTCTTCTGCTTCATACGCCTGTTCTGGAACCAGATCTTCACCTGCGTCTCGTTAAGCTGCAGCGCGGAAGCGATCTCGATGCGTCTCGCTCGCGTCAGGTACTTGTTGAAGTGAAACTCCTTCTCCAGTTCGGTCAGCTGTTTATTCGTGAAGTTTGTGCGTCCGGTATTGTTGAAGCTACCGGCGATACCGGCCAACGAACCGGCGATACAATTCACTGTTCCACTGGCGGTACTTCCGTACACCGAGGAGCTTGGCCCCGCAACTGTACCGCTACCGTATTCGGTGTTCGGGTTTGTTTTCGATGCTGAAACAAACATTATTTTTACAATCAGTATAGGGCATACAGAGTAATTGTACAGATGTCATTGAATTAATTAATTAAATATTGTTGGCACATTTTTTCTCGATTAATTTATAATTGATTTTTTTAGCAAACGTTAAGTGATTGAGAATAAAATAATGCTTGTCGAAGAAAGTTTCAAAAAGACATTAATAGATAGAAGAAAATCTTAATTTAAATTCAATTGCATTTTATTGCAGTGTGAGTTTAGTTGTTGAAATTTCTGTGAACGGATTTTTGTCGTTTAGGACAAATTTATTTGAAACAACATACGTACATTTTAAGTAATGTAGGATCTTGTGAAAATAATAATAGGTGAAATAATGGAATATTCTTGAGATAAGACGATTTATAAATATCAATATAATGACAAAAGTGATACATGGAACGCAGACGCTATTTTCAATTTAGATGTAATCTTCTGATTGTAGTACGATGAGAACATACAACAGACGTGGATGCAATATGTGTCGAATCAAGATCAAGTCAAATCCTTTAAGTGACAATCGTTTGCCGGCCATAACAGCTGGTCACTACTCGGGGAGAGCAGTTTTAGGGAGATGACCTGTGCAAAGCTGAAGTAACGATAGGGTTGTGATCCCTAAATCTGGATCAAATTGCATCAGCTGTAGAACAAATATCCGCAGTTACTGCGTCGTTACGTGAAATTTTTGACTTTTTCGCTTTATCGATATTTTACATATTAATATGATTTTTAACACTCAATCCGATTGTTTTATAACGCGGATAAATTTTTGGTTCGAGAGGCAGATGATGCAATTAAAATATTGAGGACAAGAATGACGCGCTTTAGACAGAAGGACGAAGATACATTATGAAAATTAGATTGTTATTTAGACTACAGTATGTAGCACTCAATTTACTTAATGGCTGGGGATGGACGAAACTGTCAAGCCACCGCCTTAAAGTCACGTCTTCCCCATTATGTACATTTTCTTGCGACATCTTTAGCTTCGTCCTTCAATATTTTTATAATACGTTTTTGTTTTTCTTATCTGCTCTAAAGAATTATATAATATTCTGGCATCCCTTACATGTCTGTGAAAATCAATATATATATATATATATATATATATATATATATATATATATAACATGAAATATTTATATTTGTGTAAGATGACTTTCGCGAATTTCCTAATATAACCGAAGAGATCAGTCACTTATATCAGGGTCCCTGAATTTAGCTTGCGACCATTAAGCTTACGCTTTTCCAGGCCGAATAATAAACTTGGACAAGTTCTATTAGGCGTGCCAGTGCGAGATACAATGAAATGTTTCTCGTTTCTCGCGACTCATTCATCAATTTAGCACTTTAACGGGAGGACCGGCTACGATGCCGTTGATTTTCTATACTACCTTCTTTATTATAGCAACAACGAAGGTATTGTATTAATGAAATATAGAAGAAGGATCTATAATAAATTATAGTGACATTGCCAGTGCCATTATAATATAAGTGTTCGCTAAATAAAAAAAAATCTGCCTTGCGAATTTACATTTTATAATAAAATCGAGATCAGATCTTTCTCTCTCTTTCTCTTTTTTCGTTATCACAATTATCGACAGTAAGTTACGTTCATGCATTTCGTGAAGGCGGAAATTATATCGTGAGCACGCATCGAATATCCTTAAGCCAGTGGCCTCCGTAATGCCCTAAGTTCAACGCTATACTATGCAGAAATTAATAGTTACGTACAGTTGCCGATGCGGGGGAACATTTGTT